CCGCCGAACTCACTGGTTGACTGGAATCCTGCTGCTGCACAATTTTAACGTGTTTTTAGATGGGGTTATGATCGAGAATGCTTTATGTGGCCTCTCTGGACTCCAATATATTTGCACTTAGTTAGTTGGGCACCATTTGCAGTCATCAGCCGCACCACTTTTTGGGCAAGCTCCATACCAGAAACCGGAGGACTTATTTTTTTGGGCCTAACAAGCCAAAACATCATGCTGTTGCAAACCAATCTGTGGGACATAGTGCAGAGAGGATCTTTGTTATAAACCCCCTCATTAAGCTTTGGGATGAACTGCTGAGAGCAGATGAGGCGGCGGAACCCGGAACCGGGGGGGGGGGGGGGGGGTAGGGGGCCGGGCACTTTCTCCCTGATTTCCCCAGGCCGACCTAAGTGCCCCTCTCGCGGTTATAAATGTGCCACCTCGAGATGAAAACAAAACTGTTCCTCAAACGCACACGTATGAAACCATATGATCGCGCTACAATAAAATTGTCTCCTCTCTTGTAATGCAAAACTGCCCCTCAAAACACAAGTACCCCTCTCGCATTAACAAGATTGTGCACCTTCTCGAGTTGGAAAACTACCCCCTTGAAAGCACAAATACCCCTCTCGCACAAATTAATACCATTGTGCACCTCTCGAGATGAAATATTTGCCGTCACAACCAATAGTGCTCCTCTCGCGGTATCTTCTCGAGATGGAAACTGCCCCCAGAAAGTACAATTAGTGCCCCTCACAACATTTAAATTGTGCCCCTTCTCAAGATGAAAAACCTGCCCTATAGTAATAGTGCCCGTCTCGCGATGAAATAATGTTCTCTCTACATTAACTAGATAAAAGAATCACAGCCAAGATGGACACGTATTCATAATTTGGTCATGGTCATAAAAGTTTATTCCGAAATGAACGGGACCATATTCTTTTCCTCCACTTTCACCCCGACGGAAGGTGCCCCTTTTTCTGAGCAAGTAGCCCTTTGCCCCCCCCCCCCCCCCCCCCACAGTTTAAAAAGTGTTCCGCCGCCCCTGCCAGATATGATCTTTGTTATAAACTCCTCCTCACTCTAGGAATGCTCCAAACCAATCTCTGAGTGCAGAAACGATCTTTCTTATAAACACCCTCTCAGTGCTCCTCGATCAAGGAGTGCTCCTCGCTCTAGGAGAGATCCAAACCAGTCTTGGGAAATAGTGCAAAGACAAGCTTTGTTACAAATCCCCTCAGTGCTCCTCCTCGCTCTATATACGAGTGCTTCTAACCAATCATGGATATAGGACAAAGACCATCTTTGTTTTAAATACCCTCGTTCTAGGAGCGCTCCTCCTCGCTCTATGAGTGCTCCTAACCAATCTTTGGGATATAGTGTAGAGAGGATCTTTGTTATAGACCCCCTAGTTCTAGGAGCGCTCCCCCTCGTTCCGTGCTCCTCCCTCTATGAGTGCTCCTCGCTCTACGAGAGCTCCAAACCAATCTTTGGGATATAAGACAAAGCAGAGACTATCTTTGTTATAAACCCCCTCGTTCTATGAGCGCTCCCGGCGCTCTAGGAGTGCTTCAAACTAATCTTTGGGACACAGTGCAGTTTCTTATAAACTCCCTCGTTCTAGGAGTGCTCCTAGCTCGCTCTAGAAGTGCTCCAAACCAATTTTTGGGATATAGTGTAGAGAGGATCTTTGTTATAAACCCCCTCGTTTTAGGGGTGCTCCTAGCTCGCGCGCTCCAGCAGGATGCTCCAAACCAAGTATACAATTTACGTCGAACGGTGGGGGACGGAGGGAAATGTCCTTCATATGATGATCTTTTGCTTTTAATTGGTTAAAATGGTCAGAAATTGCCTCAGATTGCGTCTAGAATCCAATTTTTGTCGGGGCCCTTAAGCTCCTCAGTCTACGAGTGCTCTAAACAAACCTTTGGAATATGGGCCTAGTGCAGAGACGATCTGTATTTTAAAGCCCCTCGTTCTCCTCGCTCTAGGATCTAGAAGTGCTCCAAACCAATATTTGGCTATATCATAATGATAAAGTGCAGAGATAAAAGTAGGCTACCTTAATTGTCATTGTCTACTAATTTTGATGAAAATGAAATGCGATATTGACGTCCTTTGTACGGTTTAATATCTCCTCATGCTAGGAGTGCTCCTCCTCGCTCTAAAATGAGTGCTCCTACAAATCTTGTATTTTAATAACTTTGGTTTTGGTCTGAACGTTGCGCACGGTTAGATAATGAAGTTACTTATTCATGATCCTGAACGACGTCATAACATGCATATTTATTACTCACTCTGTAACAGGCACTGATATCTAATAATTATACTGACAGGGCGGTTGCTCCATAAGATCAGCAGACAGGTCAGATTCAAGAGGGGGCGCCCTTTTCCCTAGGCGCATGCATCCAGCTGGAAGTTAGACTGCTGAGACTAGACAACACGCGCTGGGGCTAGGCTATTAAATTATGTGTAAATCATATCGCAGCAGCTTCAGTTCTTGAATCGTCTCGTCCATGGGCCAGACCAGATGTCGGTACCATCTGAGTTGGGAAAATTAATGATGGCACATTACTTGTTTTATCACCATTTATAAGTGAAAAAATATATGAAAGTCTTTTCTATAATGAGTAGCTTAATCCCTAAAAGGACATTTAATATTTCTTTTTGAGATGGTATCATATTAAATCTACGGTTTCCGAAGGCAACCGAGAGGGCACATGGTACCCATCAGTCCAGTGGATTGGATCCAATTTTTGACAAGATCTTGACCGACTGTCCAAAGCACCAACTTGGCAGATAGAATCTAAAGAAGCCTAAAGAAGCCTAAAGAAGCCTGCATTTAGAAGGGATGACACCTGACATTCTTTTGGGAGGGGTGCTTAAATAGCTGCCGTGTAATTCCCAAATATTGGTATATTTTTATATCGATATCTTTTTTTATTTCTTAGAAAAGTCTATTTTTTGGATTCTGCTTACATATACTGATCCTTAATCTAATAATTTTTCCTGAATCATATAAGTGAATGGATAATGAGGCCATTTATGAAATTATGAAAGTGACCATTATAACCTAAAGTTGCGTGCTTTGACCTTTACCCCAAAACCTCACTATTAATGGATAATATTTTATATTAATACGTCCTCATAATAATCCAGTCACCTGTATGCTTTAGAAAAGTTTAAGTAAGGACATGTAAGTAGAATCCCGAGAATATAGTTTCCCAAAATGAAAATTTGGAGAAATAGGATATACGGGAATAAATATGTATTTAATGCAAATTAGTACCCTTCGCCATGGGCGTCGCGAGGATTTTTTTTAGAGGGGGGCAAAAAAAATTTTGCCAAAAAATGCTTGTATTTCTCAACACATTCTCGATTTATCAGTTTTAGAGGGGGGGGGGGGGCAGGGACATTTTGCCCCCCCCCCAACTCATTAAATTTACACCACTTTGTCTTCGCGCCTCTTTTTCTTTTCTTTTCTTTTTCTTTTTCTTTTCTTCCTTTTTTTTTTTTTTTTTTTGGCTTTTCCGGGGGGGGGGGGGCAAGTGCCCCCCCTTGCCCCCCCCCCCCCTCGCCCCCCCCTCGCGACGCCCATGCCCTTCGCAAAAGAATTTCATGTGTCACCCCTTATAAATTATCTCCTCTATGGCTATAGGAACTATATATCTGCCAAGTTTGGTGTTTTGGACCAGTCGGTCATGATTCCGAGCATAAGCCACCTGACCGTACATCGTAATCTACAGTGTGCCATCATTTTGATAGAGCTCAGTGGCGTATCCAGAGGGGGGGGGGGGGGGGGGGGGGGGGAGGGTCAGAGGGGGAACTCTGTCAGTACATCTCTCAGTCAGTACATGCATAGAACAACTCATCATGAACATACCCAAGAAATTTCATGACTATAGGTAAAAGGGTTGTGGAATTATGGCAAATTAATTATTCATATGTACGAATGGTAATTCTGCTCTGTGTATACGACGTATATGGGAAAATTATATAAAAAAATTATATAAAAAAATTATATAAAAAAATCATGGCGGTACGTGTTTCCGTGGCGACGCGAACTGAAGCTCGCAAAAGATGTTGCTGGTATTTTGGGACGCGCTGTTGTCCGTGCTCTTTAACAAACTCGATTTGTCTCAACGAATTTCGAGTACGACTTTCAATTTATTTTAACAGGAAAACCGTGACAACGTTATATTTTTGAAGTCCATGACCATGGGCGTCGCTAGGGGGCGCTTGCCCACCCCTGGAAGGGAGAAAAAGGAACTTAGGGTGAGGTCATATTTGCTATTAATTTAATACACATTTAACAAAATGGGCCAATCAAACATTTAGTCCTGATTTGGGAATGAAATGACGCTACGATTTAGTAAAGTTGACTCCGCCGGATTGGCTGATATTGCATAAATCTGCATGCCTAGCCTTGACATTATCAGGTGTACGTTATTAGAATTGGCTCTTGGATAACGGACTACCTAAATCTCGCCGGGGCAAGCAAAAAAGGGCCCTCTGTACCCCTTTTTGTTCACACGAATTGTATTATGTACATATGCAGGAGACCACAGTGTTCATGGCAATATTGTTAATTACGGTTGAAGCAATTAGTGGTGTTTAATCATGATTCAAGTTAATTGAAAGTTCTCAAGCCTTCCTTAAGTTGCTCAGTTATCGATGATCATTCATGGTGAAAATCGACTGTCCAAATTAACGACCGCCAATGGAAATTGTTGGAGATGACTTCAATCTATCGATTTAACCCCTTAAACATGCCACTGTACAAAAATGAAACAACTGAAATCATAATTGAAAACTGAAGTGTATTTTGTAATCATAAACCGCCAAGCACAAGCGCAATGTAGGCGGGGTATGCATTACATGTCCATCGACAGTTTGTGTACATTATTTTTGTCCAGAGATGACCTCTGTGCCGATGACGTCATGAATACCGCTATCATCCGGGAGTTTCCTCCCTTTCAACCAATCGCAAAGCTGTCTTTCCATCACATGGTGTGACCTCACGGCCAACAGATAGCAACACAAACTCTATCAGCTCCACCATGTCCATGTAAAAATATGCAGAAACAAGAACCAATTTCAAGTATTTACGTAAAAAGTACCATTCCTAATGCCCCTTAATTAAGGCTTGTGCAACTCTGGAGTTTATAGAAGTCGGAATATTCCTTCTTGGAGCTGCATCTCATGTTGAGGATTTTTGACACGGATGAACCTGAGTAACGTTGGCATTTGTGGTTGATGTTTGTACCGAATCAATCGTGTACACAATTTCTTGTTCCATTGCATTGCCATGCCATTGAGTTAACATTGTACATGTTGTATGCATGTTCATGTATTCGAATGCGGGTTTGGTTGTTTTGACGGTTCACCAGATCCAGACAATTGGAATTAAGTCGGCCAATGGTGTCACAATTAGCAAGAAGCTAACCCAACACCAGTCGTAGTAGGCCTATAAAGACAATGTCAGCTGGGCCAGCAGTGGACAAAATTGACCCCTTCACAAAAAAGTCTATGCGAAAGGGGAAACAGAAAAAGTCGCAAGGCTCATCAAAATATCGGTCGAAGAACAGCATAGAATTGCAGCCTCTGGCTTTAATAAAGGGTAAGATAATTTCTTAGTTAAATATTTATGTTGCAACCTGACGCTAGGCTACTGTTTTCTTCATATAAATTATAATCATCTCAATCGAAGGTCAGTGGTCTGTCATTGCAAAACTGATGATAAGACATGATTGAATCTAGCACTGAACATGCTGAAAAGCATTTCCAATTTTGTCGTGTTTGTTAAGAAATGCTTCGAAAACTTTCTTGACTCTCCATAGACTTTGTACACAACAGCTGAAGTGGCGTCAGGTTGAAACATTCTTTCCATATTATAATTTACACCTAACTTATAATTTTTTTTTACAGTGTTAGTGGCTATCGTTGCGGCAGTCAGTTGACCATCTGCTAGCAGGCATTTACACATGTCACTAGAGCCTGGGTAGTGGGTAGGGCAGAGGTTCAAAAGCTGACATCAGTGATACTACTCCGTGAACGCGCTTCGCTCGCATAAATACAAGCGAAATCATTATATCTTTCGATCCGCTACATATAACCACGTATAATTTTGCCCATAGGTAAATCACTTACTTGTTAGGCTTCCTGTGAATTTACGCGAGTGTTGGATCTGTCATTGTCAAGAAATTCGAAGTAAAATACGGCTCAACTTTGTCACAACGAATGTTTTCAAAATGATCAGAAAATCAAAGACAGGCATGACACTCTGGTACCCGAGTTCCGCATGCGCAAAATGGTAGGAGTCCCACCAGTGGGTACCCGACTAACAGTCTTACATGGCAGGATGACTGTAATACCATGTAAAATTCTGCTAAATCCACTTCGAAAGTCTGCCAATCACCCAGTATATATTGCTGTTCCATTGTGTAAGGGTTTGTTTCAGGGATCTTTAAAAAAACGAAGGTTTTTCAAACTAAATGTGCCCATATTTCTCTAATCTTTTTGATTGTCCTTCATCTACATAATTCTGCCGAAAAAATATTCTGCTGGATTCTCTGTACAACTCATTTTTGTATGCAAATATTCTGTCAAATGTAGCCGAAATTCGGCTAGAACGGTCACTCGATCACAGTAACCGTGGATCACAATAGAGTGTTTTTACTATAGATTGAAGCATGGCTATGTATATAGCCACGTTCACGGGTCTACAGTGATACCAGTGTTTTATATGCAATCGGATCCTTTAGCCCTAACCCTGCTGAATCCAACAGGATCCAACTATGTCACATACCCGATGGAGCCTGTTGGATTGAGCAGTTAACCCCTTGTGTACATTCCTCATGCAAAATGTTGGACTCAGCAGGCAACTGAACCGCATTATAACGCATTGTTGGACTCTGTTGGATTCAGCAGACAACTGAAAATGAGGCACAGTGGATTGAGCAGGAAAGTCCGGCGGGACTCTGTTGGATTTAGCAGGGTAGTCCTGAGGAAGTACAAGGGCAGTAGGGGGTTAGGGTTGGTCAGAGTCTGAGTCTCAAGTCATTTGGTTTAAGTCTGTGTCCATGTCATAACACAACAGTTACGAGTCTGAATCAATGAGACCCATGTTGTAAGTGTTTTAAAAAAATAGGTGCAAAAACTAAGCCCATTGTAGGTATGTTGCAGTTTAGCCCAAAATTTAACTTTAAGTAAGGGTCAAGCTGCTGGTCTACATACAGCCTCCGTATCCAGGTCAGGTGGAGTCATTTGAACCAGGAATTAATGTGGTATGAAGGGCACTCCGAACTCCTACATGTACTGTATGTTGCATCTCATTTCCGTGGAGGCTTGGGGGTAAGGTTGGGCGAGGTTGTGTCCAGTAAAGCACGTCTTTCCAATCAGTGATTTCTCATCCACGACCTCGATTCCTATATGTAGCTTCCATGCCTCCACAACTCTTGCAATGGTTGGGGAGATGGATGTGCCTGGAAGATTTTTCTAAAGGGAAAACAAGGCCAAACTTTTCTGCGCCCTGACTTGCGTGCCATCTGTTCCTACTTCGATTGGGAAGAGATCTTGTGATTTTTTTGTTGTTGTTGAGAAAATGAAGTTGAATTTTCACCAACACGCTCTATGCAGGAGCACCCCCTCAGCGGGAAGAAAGGGAGAGTTGGGGGAGACCACTGGGCGAGACATTCCAATGCATCGTCGATGACGCCTGATGTTATCGCGAAGAGGCTATGGCTTCATGCACATTCCCACATTCCCACTTTTTGCACACATGAATCTGTATGCGCACGCGGTGTGTCTCGGCCACAGCGCCCTCGAAAGTGGTCGTAAAGCATCCTTTCTAGTGTGCGCATGGAGCCCATAATCTTTGACCTCATCTGCACGCCATCAAAACCACTCTCACTTCCACCCCCCTACCCCAACCCAACTCCAACTTGATTATTTTATGAAACATCATGTAAAATCGTTGAGCCTGGTATGCTGTCATCCTCAAAAAATGAGGAATTTATATCAGTACTGTAAGTTTTTGTTAAATGGCCACAAACCAGCTGTAATTTCATAGAGCTAATTAAGCACAAAACTTGCTTAGGCACGAAAAAAATTGCTTAGTAAAATTAGGTTACCTGCCAAAACTTCATATGATGTACATTGCTTGTGACTGGTATTTAGCTGCTGTTTACTTAGCATAACAATCACATGGAGTTTTAGCCAGTAACATGATTTTATTAAGCAAGACGTTTTTGTGCTTAAGCAAATTTTGTGCTTAAGCAGCTCTATGAAATTGCCCCGTGCAGCTGTTGACTTTATGCATACGCTCGGGTACACTTTGCTAGTTAAAATTTATTATGCACTACTTTCCCATGAAATAGGGCACTCCCTGTAACCTCCAAGAGCTGCACTTTGACGGTTGAAAATGAACAGCATTTTTGTTCGTGTTTTTCCGGCACCAATGGACACTAAACATTGAACAGCTCAGTGAAAAGATGTCTGTTAGATAGATTATTTTTTCATTGATTAATTTCATGAAACGACGACAATTGCAAATAATCCTACATGGATATGCCCTTTACTGTTACCCTTCCATATCCTCCAAAATCCACCAGTGAAGGGCACGATCTACATGTACAATGCCTTACATGTTTGAGAAAGGAACAGCCTAGCCACAAATTGTTAAAGTACATGGGGCTTCATGACTCCTCAAAATACCATTTTCTGCACAGTGGCGGAACAGGAGGATGTGGAGGATCCCTGGAGGCTCCAAGCAATGATGCCCGGATCGTTAGGGGTGTAGTCGGTCATTCATCTTGCTACTCATGAAGCTGGTTTTCTGTGAGATCTGTTTGCAATGTGGGGCAATGTACATGTAGGAGAGGCAAAACAAAAACCAAAGTCTTTGAATTTTACCCTAACTCCACTTGGCAATTATTATTTTAACCATCTTGAATCCTCCAAAATCGTCCACTGAGGAGGAACCCAGTTGCTAGTTTTGAACTTTAATACTAGTTTTGTACTTTATCAAGTTCCACGTAAAAGGAAAGTTGCATGGGTCCACCTCAACACGAATCGACAACACATACTGTGCACACCTTCACCGGTTTGTACGCGGATCAGCTGTAAATTTTAGATTTTCTACCTGGGTAGAGCCTCTCAACCCTGATCCTGACCAGGGCTGAATTTTACCGGTACCTGTGGAGAGCACCGGACCCATGTAGAAGCCATGTGGGATTCTTGCTAGTGTAAAAGTGGTTCCCAAAATCTTGGGTTTCAACCTTCAACCCAGTGCAATAAGGAGTGGAGATAAATTAAATGCAATACCGGTACATTGCTGTTAACCCTGCTACTGTTTGAACAGTCACAGACAGTCAAAAATTCCATCCACTTCCCCTGTCATGCCCTTTGTAGACACAGGCTAGTCACCAGCAGTCAGATCGTGACTAGTCAAATTCAGTCAACAGACAAAAGTAGGCAACTGGTAGGCACAGCTGTCTTATCAATCACCTGCAGTCAAAGCATAATGTATTAGGTTAAACAGCACAGCCAGTTAATCCAGCTTTATGTAGACTGGGAATTCTTAGCCCTTGAAAACAGTCACTTGACTGATTTTGACTGAAAGGACAACTTGGCTCAGAATGTATGTTTGCATCTAGGAGGGTAGATGCATACCATGTGCTCTTCAAAATGTACTTTTTTTCTCAAAATGACTTCAATTTGCATGTTTTGTTTTAATGAAAAATCTAATTTATTCTGATTTTGGGCATCTGCAACCCTTGCACTCAAATGAACCTGCCCTACGAGAGCAGACTGTTTGTCTAGCAGCCAATAATTTGAATTTTGTGAAGAAATAATTCAATAACTAAACGGTGGTTGATTTTTTTCGTGCTATGTCTCATCAAAAAGTGAATAACTTTAACATTGCTAGGAAAAGAGAAAATGAAAAAAAGTTAATCTAATTTTCAAGATGAAATGCGAAAATTTCATGGGGAACGACGCATCTCTAATGTGTGTATTGTGTACTAGCATGGTATAGTAGCTGGAATGCTGCGCATGTATTGCTTCATGTACAGTGCCCTTTCTGTTCCTCTGTATAGATCTACATGTAGCATTCCTGTGTCTATCAACGCATTGACATTCATGGTTTTACACTCTGCCTAGGACTATTGCAGTGTTCAATACAGGATGCAATAAATGTGCATGGTGGAATAATCAAAATCACTTGGTTTGTGTCTCCTGAAGAATTGAGTTGTCAGTAACCAATCCAGGGGGTGTAGTAATGGCTTGTTAAGGGAATGGAGGGTGTTGAATAAAGCATCTTTGAAGAATCAACAATGGTCAGTTTGGTAATTAGATCTTGGCTTGATCAACAAAGGGGAAGGTAACAGTGGAGGCAACAGAAGAATATGTACATGTATGTAGCTAGAAGGGCAAGGTATAAAACACGTCTATAGTGATGTATGGAAGTTGTGTTGATTTTTTTTTTTTCTTCAAATCTTGAGATTTTTGGAAAGACATAAATGTACATGTACACGTACCAGTAGTGTAATTGTATTCATGTTTTTTTTATCATTGTTTTTAAGACAGTATTTGATTTTACTGAGATAAAACAAATCACAC